TACCCTCCTGGAGATTTTCTCTGTGCTTCGGTTCCCACACTCTGGAAAGGGCTGATAGTTGAGTTTTTCCCTGGCTTTCAGTGCTAACTTGAGCGTAGAGGCTTCATCCAATCCCTTAGCATGCAGCAAATTGGAGTAGCTGGTCCAGCACTGTGTTACAATGCCCTGTTTCCTGGAACTGAATTCCAAGTTAAGGATTTCACAATCTCTCCCCAACAAAGAAGCCACTTTTCCCATGTTGCATTGCTTGGTTAAAGTGGAAAAATTCTTCCTTTTAACTTCAAAGGGCCTTGCTTATGATTATGCTAAAATGTTGCTGTATTTCCAAAGTCCCTAAAGTGCTTTATTTCCACAGTTCTTATGAATATTTTTTATTGCAAACTAGTTTTTCCAATTGATGTTTCTCCAAATATACTTATCTTGATGACTTTTTTTTTTCAGTGTCTTGCTTTTCTCTCAATTACAAAGTTTTTGTCTGTCTTATCATATGCTGTATTTCAAACTTTGGAGCAGTGGTTAGCAAGCCAAGACAATGGATAAAAACTATACATTGACTAGATGACTAATGAAGAACAGTAGGGAGAATAATTTGCTGAGAGGAAAGTTAAAAGCAAAACTTCTGGACCATAATCAATACAACTTCAAAGGATTATCTATGAGTGATGGCATTGCTTATAAAAATTCTGTAAGCTTGTTATGTATATTCAAGATCCACACTGTAACACACACTCACTCTAGCAGCATGCTGACCTTGAGCTGTACAATCATAATCCAGCTGAGATAAAACAAGAACACATAAGCAAATACCAAAAAGCTGGAAACTTCTCTCCTAGGTGTAAAAATTAATTTCATTTTAGCAACTGATTAGACAAAAATATGAGGCATAAAATGAAAAAACAAACTCATATCTTGTTTGAGCTACCCAATTACAAATTTACATGAGACATAGAAGTTACTAATATTGAAATGTCTGATAAACCCCAGTGTTACTGCATCCTAAATATTGTCCTAACTCCAGCAATATGAGTGATCAGGAAAAATTACAATGAGGCGAGATCAGATATATTGCCAACTCCCAGGCCCTAGCAAAATCATTATATGCTGTCTAATCAATAACAGATGGATAATGACTGAGGGGTCTGTTGCTTCTTCAAGGGAAAGGATAAAGGCTTATTGCTGTGATTGCTTCAGCCATTAGGCAGTAGTGTTGATCCCTGCAGCTACGAAGTGCAGACCATATGGTGTAATACTCATCATCCATAGCATCTATGTATGAGACTGGTTAAGCCAGAGAAGCCCATACCTTCCCCTTGTCTATGTTACAAACACCACCTTAATCAAGAAAAATTAAAAATCAGTAAAAAATTATCTACAAGAACATATTTGATAAAGTGTAAAATTCAAGTGAAGGCATGCTGCTTCAGAATGGCTTAGTCTAACCTTATAAAAGTTCTCTGAGGTGCTGACTGTGTGTCTGGTTAATTTTTCTATATAGTGTTTTTATTTGCTATTTATTTATAATACAATTATGATAAAAATAAAGAAATATATTAGGGAGGACCTTGTTGGCAGTTAGTACATTGTCATTATATGTCATTGATTAGGTATTTAGTATACGCTGATCCCATTTTCTTTTTATTTCTTTAAGGGCTTTGTTTGTTTAATACATCTGAAAAGAATTCATATACAAAGAGTTGAGACATAAGAAATCAATGGTTCAGCACTAACGAATCCACAAGATCAGGAGTGGGGAAGGAGAGTACCGAAACATTTTTAAAAACGGGAATCTGCAAACAAAACAGCCTGATAAAGTCTCTATTAACACTAATGAAGAGTCACAGGGCTCTCGCCATTTTTCTTGAGAGAACTTCAGCCATTTGTTCAAGGGTTCCTAATAAAAAAGGGGGATACCCCTGACTTGGTTAATAGTATGCACCCCAGCCCACATGCTCATAGCTTCTGAATGAAGCAAGCCCGTCCCCTCAACAGCTGAAAGGAAATGGCCTTCATCAGTAACCATGTGTCTTCCAACACCAACCCTTAAGGAATGTTCCCAGTCTTCAGCTTAATCTAGGCATAGCTAAGCATAGATTTTGCCCCTGACTGACAGGGGCAAAAGTGCTTTTTTTAAATTAATAACTCAATCTATTAAATGTACTTCAAAAGCTGCAATACTTTTTTTTATTTATCAATGAAATAAGTTAGAAAATGTTCCCCTGAATCATCTAATGGCAAACAAATACCCTTGAAAGTTAGTCACATATAGAGTGCATCCTAGAAAGAGGGACAAGGCAGCTTCCACCCACTCTCACAAGTTTCATCAAAGACTGGATCAGCTTAAGGGTGGAGAGAAAAGGCAGCCTTCAAGAAGGAGTATGTTATTAAATAAAGCAATTCTATACTCCTTCCTAAGAGTACCAGGTGGGGACGTATTTGCTAAATTAGACCTAGGGAGTAGAATGTGGGAATAACCTGTCCTCCGCCACACAGGCTGTCCTCTGGTTTTCAAATTTTTAAAAACAAGAGTAAGAAACAACCCTCTATACACCCCAATAGGAGGGATGGGTTGGAGGAAAAAAAAACAAAAGCAAAAGACAAGAACATGCCCCATTTCACTCTCCAAAATGGAACCAGCGAACAGCTTTGACAATTCGAGTTAGTTTGTTACAGTCATCACAAGCATGCCTTGTGTTTGCTTTAAACAAAACAATACATTCGTGGAGATTTGTTGTTCTTTTTGTTGTTTTAAACAAGGAAAAAAAGCTAACACTCATCACTTTTAGTGCCACACATAATTATTCAAGATTAGCTATTACTGGAAGGGCAAGGGGTGCATACCAATGGTGCGTGTCTTACATGAATGCATGCGGGTAGATGTAGGGTGTTTGTCATCAGTGCAGAAACATTTTAATTTCTAGTTTGATTTAAACATGATTTTAAGTATGATCAGCTTAAATAACAGCTGTGCAGAAAGGGCTCTGGAGAAGTGTTCATAGTAGCACACACCTGTGGCTCTTGTTGGGTTCTGGAGCCTCCAGGGCAACAATATTGCTTTATCAAACACATTCTTTAGGCTTTTCTGTGTGAGGGAGGAGCACTACACATATTTGACAGCTACTTGACAGCTTTCAGATCCCATGCCAGCTTTTCAACAGTCTCTGGAGCTATAGGCTTCTGTTTGTTCTTGGCAAGTTTCTCAAGAGTAGAGGGGTCTTCTTTGAGATTAATTTGGTCTCCAACAAGAAAGAAAGGAGTCTTTGGATAGTGGTGAGTTATCTCAGGTGGCCACTTTTCGTTCACATTTTTGAGTGAGGGTGGAGAGACACTGAAAACCACACTAGAAGAACATCTGTTTGTGGATAACTCAGTAGTCATAGTCTGTCATAATCCTTTTATCCTGCAGTATCAAAAAGTCCAATAGTATATGGCTCTTCCCCAATCATAACCTTGACTGCATAGTTGTCAAAAACAGTTGGAACATATTCTGATGGAAGTTTGCTTGTCATGTAGGATATCAGGATATATGTTTTACCAACAGCACCATTACCAACAACAACATACTTAACTGCATCGTGTAAAGAGTTTTACATGCACTTTTACTATTTCAAATTACACGTTGATCTCAGCTTCTCCTCTGGGGCATTGGCAGCTCTACCTGTTGATCCCATTTTCAGAGAGAGCCCATAAGTCATTCACTCTTCATTCAACTTGGACCACCAAACCTCCAATATATAGGTATCCCACAAAGGGTTAAAACATAGATTAGATGCAATAGAAGATCCTGAGAATAGAATCAGCAGCTGCTTATATTTAACAAAATATATGTGAAATGCTATGTTTTATGCAAAGAAAGATAAACACTTGTGAATGCACAGAGGCTGGTCCCTGAAACCCTTCAGAGAATTATTTAATGATATACATTAGATGAAGAGCAATTACTTTTTAATGTTAAATGACCATTTTGAGTGCATAGTACATGGCTTGATTGCACTTAACTACTTCTATATGAATAAAGGTATAATATTGTATTTATTTTCTAATTGAGTAATGTGAAGTGGCTTGCAATATAAACTAAACAGCTATTAAATGGCATGGGAAAGACCCAAATACAGTGCTGATGATTACAGTGATTCTGTTTTCTGATTATATTGCCTCTCCTTTAAAACAAAAACAGCAATTTGAGGCTACGCTACAGGCAGTAGGCATTACTTCCTCCTTATGTGGTAGAATAGTAAGCAATGCAAATGCACACTATGGATAGGAATGTCTGCAAAATTTTGTAAGCTCTGCTTTCTGACAAGCAATAGTCAAAATCAGCAGAGTATATATAAAAGTGTTGAACCTCAGTCTATGGGAGCAGACAGAGTAGGAATGACAATAATGGTTTGCCTCACCATGCTTGAATAGACTTGTTATCAATCGCTGCATTAATTCTGTCTGGCTCCTGGAAACAGTCATTTGCTTAATAGTTCTTTTGTGAGCAGGGAGTCTAGCCCAATCTCAAATGACTCATCTCCAGCTACAGAGAAATTTAGGCATAAGGAAACAAAATCTAACTTCACTTTTTCACAAACAATATGAAGAAGGAAGTAGTCACAGCATGCTGTACTTTTCACAACAGGATGGAACAGTGTTTTCTTCTGACACAGGTCAATGAGGCATAGAACGTGGTTTTCCTGTGCAGTTGTCTCCTTGAGTTGGTGTAAATAAAGCCAATAATTCAAGCCAAAAGGAAAAGCATACAGATTTGTTAAATTATACTCTGATTCTTTTCATTAGAAAATTCAGACAAAATTCTAAGTCTGTATCTTAGCTTTGTCATTATAGTGGTGAAAAATAATTGTTCAGTAACCAAAATCCATATTTGCTATTGATTTCTTTTTTTTTTAACTATTCTTCAGATTTAAAGTATTCTATTTTGTGACTGTTACCTAGAATTAACTATATTATATAGAAACATTAAAACACAGTTATAAAGATTTTATTGTATTGGTTGCCAGGTGATTAAACAGGAAGAACTTTACAAGGACCTTTCTGACTGTTCTTTGTACGATCTGCTCAAGTATGATGACTTCAATGCTGACAAGCACCTTGCTCTTGAAGAATTCTACAGAGCATTTCGTAAGTACAGGGTCAATCTTTAGTTCATTTTGCTCTTTTTTTCCTGTTGCTTTATTCAAGATGATATGTCAGCTTGATCCAAAGTACAAGCTATTTCTTAGGAGAAGTGTTATAAGGAAGAGAAATCAAGGTTTTGGCTCCTCCAGAGTGTATGCAAAGCCAGGGGGTTTTGCATTTCCAAAACCCAGTGGAATTGCTCTCTTTCCTAGGGTATCCTGTGTCTTACTGACTTTATTTTGAGAGCCAGTTTACAAAGCTATCTTTGAGGCTACTCTAGAGGAAGAACACTGACCTGTTGTCTTCATGTACCAAAAACTATTTAATTACTTTTGCAATGATATTTACAACTTCATTGGGATTGCAAAATGAATTAACAGATGAGGTTACTGTATATTCCAGGAGCTATTGCTTTTAGAATTTTTTTCTTTTTATGTTCATACTAAGGTACTCCAGAATAATATATATTTGTTTAAGTTGTTTAAATGTCTCTTAGAATAAAGAACTGTACTTTCTGTATATTTTTACATAAAAAAGTTAAAATTATTTAGTCAACATAAATTTCCTATTTGACCATTCTTTAAAAATAACTTCAAGAAAAAGGACAATAAAACCACCAAAAAACAAAATAAAAACAATGAAAGAATCAAGTTGTGCTCAAGAGAAAAACAAATAAACAAACCAACAACAAATAAACAGATGTGGGGACTTGCAAAGCACTAAAAAAAGTATATTATGCATTCAACTGAGTACATGAAAATAAACTTTGAGACAGAGAGCTTGATTATAGATGAATAGCCTTTGTTGAAAAAATATAGAAATATGATGTACATTACTGTAAATGATCTGTTTAAAATTAAACTGTTTCCATCTTACAGGTGACTGATTGGGAAGAAGTTACTTTAAAAAAAGTATTATTTCATTAAGCAGAAGAGATGACATAGTAGTTAAAACCAGCTGACGCTTTTACAGAGAACCTGTGCTGAGTTTCCAACACCTAGGTGAAATAGCTCTGCATGCTCCCCTGTTAGGTTTTGGCCTGTGCAGCAACATGTGCACACATGGAATACTCACACAAAGATAATACACATACTCAAAAATAATGTAAAAAATATCCATAGGCTATCCATATTAAGACCGGGTACAAAAATAGTATTGGGATTTATTCAAATTGCATGTTCTCTTAAATGAGAAAGTGGAATTTACTAGGAAAGATGACTCAGGAAGTTGTTGGTCACTTAAAAGGGTGACCAACATTTCAAGCCAATATGCCTTGAAAAAATTTAATGACAGAAGTTAATCATTGCAAGTTTATATGAATACAATGAATCACATAGAGATTAAGAAAAATTGCTTAGTACAATATCAAGTCTATGTCATCTTTGTTATTAAAACTGCATTTTACATCAATCCACACTCTATATTAGGCATTCTTTTAGACCTCAAGGAGACAGAAAAAAAGAGCAAAAAAAAAAATGGCTTATTAGGAAAAACAAGTACATATAATTTATTATAAAACCCGCTTCACCTATTATTTTATAATACCACACAAGGCAGAAGTTTATAAAAATGTAACTTAAAATAATAATAAGAGATTGTCATCTGTGCTTTGGTGTGAAGGGTCTTTACAAATATAGTAATACTACAACTACTGCTTCACTTAAGAGGCTTTAAATTTGGGAGAACAAAGGTCAGAGAATAGAAAGAATGACACAATCAAGAAAGGGCCTGAGAGTTGAGAGTATTTAAGAAAACAAGTCCAACATGAATATGTTCTCTTATGATAATAAATTACACATCACACAACAGGTCTGGTACAAGGATGTTTATTTGAGACAGAAGGAAAGAAAGGAGAGTTTGAGCCTGAGTTACCCATGTGGGCAAAGAGTCGGAGACAGAGAGATAGTGGGAAAGTTTAAGAGGTTAGAGAGAGAAGAGACAGAGAGACAGACAGAAAGAGAGAGAGAGAGACTGAGGGTCCTTTTACAGCAGTGCATCCTTTGGAGGCAGCTGATCATGTCATGTGTTGCTAGGCAACCTGAAAGACAGCAGGTAGTCTGAAAGAACATGTGGCATCTGAAAGAGGTTATTTTTGTTTCTTTAGAAAGTGTTTCCTTAGAAAATGTTCCAACCATTACCTCTATTTTATACTAGGAAAAAACATGGAATAAATAATAATGGGTGAAGTAATCCACAGAATTAGCTGGAAATAACTGAATTATACATAGTTTATAAGGCATTTGGGAAGAGTACTAAAGGAAAATATTTGTGTTTTGTCTATGAAATATTCTCTGAATGTGTCAAAAGATAAGAATCTTGCCTACCATATTGCTGATTGTCATTTTCAGGGAGAAATCATCCCATGTTTTGGAATATGATTTGGTGTTGATGTGAAATATATTTTTCTGATAAATTTTTATAATAAATAAATCAATAGTCAATGAAACTCAAAAGTGATAAATCATGATAGTCTCTTCGTAATGTTACTTTACAAAAGTAGTTATCTACTTTCCAGAAGAAAAGTTATGAGGGTCCGTTTAATATTAGACTGTACTGCAGACATAATTTAATGGAACTCATGCATAGTACTTGCAATTGACTTAATAGTTATTATAATGATCCTGGCCTTAGGTGAGAGATAAAGATAACATAAGGGTTTATATGTTCAATATTTGAGAAATAGAGATCTGTTAGGTAGGAAAAGCACTTGGCAGGCTAGCATGTTGGCTCAGACTTTGAGCGTTACATTTAAATTTAATTAATTAATTACAATTTCACTTTGAATCCCCACTATAGCCCCCTCCCTTGTCTCCTTCCAGTACCACCCACTCTCCCTCTTTTCTCTCTATGCCCTTTCCCTAGTCCCCTGATAGGGCAGGTCCTGCTTCCCTTCTGCCTGACCCTAACTTATCAGGTCTCATCAAGGCTGAAACCTAGAACCTCTTAACAGATGTAGGCCATGGCAGCTCAGTCTCCAAGTGGGGACCTAGCAAGGAGAACAGGGATTGTCTCTGACATGAACTCAGTGGCCTGGCTCTTTGATCACCTCCCCCTGAGGGAAGCAGCCTTACTAGTTTATCAAGGAAGACAATGGAACCAATCCTGATTAGACCTGATAGGCTAGGGTCAGAGGGAAGGGAAGGAGGACTTCCCCTATCAGTGGACAGGAGTAGGGGCATGGGAGGAGGTGAAGGAGGGAGGGCTGGATTAGGAGGGGACAATGGAGGGGGCTACAGCTGGGATAGAAAGTATATAAACCAAAATTAATAAGAAATAAATAAAATAAAAAATCCAGCTATACTACTCCCAGGCATGTAGCCAAAACATGCCCCACCATTCAATAAAGACATTTGTTCAGCTATGTTCATAGCAGCTTTATTTGTAATAGCCAGAATCTGGAAACAACCTATCCATTCCTCAACGGAGGAATGGATACAGAAAGTGTGGTACATTTACACAATGGACTATTACTCAGCAATTAAAAACGAGAAAAGGAAAAAGACACATATGGTATTTACTCATTTATAAGTGGATAATAGCCATATAATATAGTATAAATATAGTAAACTCTACAGCCCTAAAGAAGCTAAACAAGAAAGAGGACCCTAGGTAAGATGCTTTATCCTCATTCAGAAGGGCAAACAGGATAGACATTGGAAGTAGGAGAAGATAGGAAACAACACAGGAGCCTCCCACAGAGGACCTCTAAAAGATTCTACCTAACAGGGTATCAAAGGAGATACTGAGACTCATAGCCAAACTTTGGGCAGAGTGCCAGAAACGTTATGGAAGAAGAGGTAAATAGAAAGACCTGGAAGGGACAGGAGCTTCACAAGGAAAACAACTGAACCCCATTTTTTAACTCAAATTTTAAAGATCAGAAGATTGAAACTGAGCCATCTGGAGCTATGTATCATCACTCTGCCTCAAATCAAACAAACAACAAAACAACAACAACCAAAACCAAAACCAAAACAAACAAAAACCAACCAAAAGCTGGTTCACCTTGTGTGTAAGCACGAGGACTCCCCTTCAGATGCCCATGCAAATGAGAGGGTAAGGAGACCTACCTGTAATTTCAGGACTGAGAACACGGAGACACAGCATCTCAGGGAAAAGCTCTACTGTATAGCTCAACTATCCTAACTGGTGTTGTCTGTGTTCAACAATGAGACCCTGGGTTAATGAATAAAGTGGAGAATTATTGAGGGAGGTAGCTTAATACAACCTTGGGATCCTACAAGAATCTATATACAAATGCTTCCATCTACACGCTAAAACCCCTGTGCACACACATACAAAAGATAAGATATGAAACATTAAAAGGAATCAAAGAAAAGAAATGTATTTGGCAACTATTCATTATGTATATTAATGCACTGTTTTCATGCACACCAGAAATGCAAAACAGATTCCACTGCAGATGGTTGTGAGCCACCATGTGGTTGCTGGGAATTGTACTCTGGAACAGGAACCAGTGCTCTTAACTGCTGAGCTATCTCTGCAGCCCCCAACTATTCATCATGTAATGAGGTTCTGTTGTTTTATAATTGTAAACTATTCAATTCAAATTTTATAATGATATTCATCTCATCCCTTAAGGGCACAATTTTCTAAACAATGCTGCAATTTTGGATGATATTTCAGTTCTGTTCTGGTCTCATCAAACAGTAGCCTTTGCACGGTATCACAGTCTATTTTTCACCCTCCTTTGCAACAAGCATCAAATTATAAACCTTCAAAAGGAAGAAATAGACTTTTATGAACTATATACAAAAACAGTGTTGAAATAAAATGGGAATTTTAAGTGGATGTCTCTTTCTCTTCATTGGATTTTTTGAAGTTTAGTGGCAAGCTTTTTTATAATTGTATGCATGTAAAAAGATGCCTTATTTTAAAATATTTAGGTATCACTAATAAAATTGTGTACCAATAATGGAAAATCAATCTATTAAAAACATACACCAAGTGTCTTTTTATCTAGAAGGCTGCAATAGTCAATG